GTGTTATGTTCAAATATTTGAAATCTATTTAAGGCGATTTCCTTTCAGCTTTGTTTTCTGGTCATTGAGTGAAATACACATAAAGCTCTGATAGTTCCTGCATCGAGTAGATCTGGAAATTTTACCAGGGAAAGTTTTTTAAGCAAGTTTCTTTGCAACATTTTGTTTGGGAAATGGATGACCTATCTATATTACATCAATACAGATATCAATTATTACTTTGATTAGTTATAAACTTAGATTCATTATATATTATTACTGAACTGCAATGGCTTAATAATATTTTCATTACTTTCTGACAGTCAGAGGGACGATAGGTTAGAACAGTACGTGATATAAATTATTACTTTTTCTTATTTTCTAAAAAAAGTAATTAAAAATATTATTAAAGATTTCTTTTCACACAACAACCTTATAATAACAAAAAAGTTTCACAATAAAACGAACTAACATTTGTATCCGTGTTGTACATGTTTGTGCATAGGCAGTTTAATAATTGTACTTTATGTAACTAAAATTCGCTAATTGAACGCTCGTCAATGAATTAATATTTTAGAAGATAATATGAACAAATATTGGGGCTTTTGATTGATCTCGGTTCACGTACCGTAAACCCATACATCGTAACCATCTTTAGTTTTCATCGATAATAAACAATCATGGTTATAATTCCACGCAATTCACTAACTAATTAACTTTGAGATTAAACGCACATATTGTTACTCCCTAAGTTTACAATATCTATCTACTTGAACGGTCATTAAGATTTCATTTATAACTATAACAACAACGATGATGACAATAGTGATGGTTATGCTTATGATATTATAATGAATGATGATAAATAGTGATAATTACAACTTTATCATGATTAATTCTCATTCATGTCACTACGCATTGCACACTATTTGTTTCAATGGAATGTCTATCTTGATTTTTCATTACAGTTCAAAGGAAACTATATCCGATATTGAGTATACTTTTTTATCAGTGCTACTCTTGTTTCATAGCCGTTATCATTCCTTATTTTCGACGTAACAATAAATTCAACCTCTTTTACCTTTGTTTATCCGTAATAACGTCAATACAGACAAAAAATTATATCCTCGAGGTGGGTGCAGAAATGAATTTAATATTTTTAATGAGGATGACACACGCTAAGGATGACTAACTGAGTAAAGATAAACATTATTTTGTTCCAATTGTTTCGAAAAATTGTAATTTCCTTATCTATGAGCAAATGTCATTACGTTTCAATCAATTTATGTGCCACTTTAAAAGTGTCTAATTTTATAGCGGTGAATTTCTCTACCAGTCTTTTCTCCTTCTCCGTACCTAGGCATTTTAATTATTAAAATCGTCATTATTGAACCCTGTGTTTGACTGTGTCTCGTTTTCAACAACATTTGTGTATGGCACAAATGGATATAGAGCTCACATAACTAATATGTGTAACATACATTTTATCTCTTCCACGCGGACGCGTAAATTGCGGGAAGACTTTAGAATTCATATTCTTTATTCTCCTTTTTTGCTATTATTTAACCCTGTCGCAAAATTTCATTGTTTACAATCTGCCAATCTTAAATTTGTATTCTGCGCCAATATTCACGAGATATACACGTGCCATTTTTTCCTTTAACCCTCGTGCAGTGTTCGGGTCAATTTGACCCGAAATTGAACTTTGGCATTAAATAACTCATTGACAAAGTACACGATTCATATGAAATTTAGTGACTTTTATGAATACTATTTGAAAAATATCAGCAGGCAAGAAAAAATGGGTCTGGTGCTATTTTATACAAGATATAAGTACATATGTATTTGTTACTCTGGTACTGTTCGGGTCAATTTGACCCAAACAAAAGTTTTGCTTGCTTTTTGAAAGAATGGACACCTATGTTTAGTTGGGTATATTGTTTATCTCATCTTTCGGGAAATTTCTATTTATTATTTATAATTCAAGCGTGAAAAAGTCTGTATTTGGAAATAAGTCAAAACTATAGTGGTACAGTTGACTGGTTAGCCGAATGCAAAACACGGCACAAATATTATGAGCGATTTCGACATCGTAGTAAAAAGGTACCTTATCATTCTTTTACCTCGCTCATGAATAAAACCCTTGCTCTTTATCCGGATTGGAAGACTTAGATAAAGACTAAAAAAAGAGCGATCTGTGTTTGAATAGTTTGCTCTGTATGTAAAAACCATATATATAAAACATTCTACTATTGTTTGTGAAAGATGTATAAATAAATCTTAGTTTATATTTATTATAATTTAGTTTTAGATTAATACCTTGATTCAGTGTAAGTTAGCTGTGAACTGATAATATTCATAATTTCCAGCATGAAAGCAAAGCAAGCAAAACCATGATATAAAAGAATTGTTTGTCCTTTATATAAGCATAGTACGTAAATTTTATGTAATTACTTGTTTTATAATTGTATATAATCGCTTTAATCGAAATATTAGAATACTTTTCCTATGTGGGTCATTTGAATCGAACAGCTCCAGTGTAGCAATTACTTTAACAGTGCACGAGAATTAAAGTAGATTGTTTTTTTCTCTCTTTTTCTCTCTTTCTCTCTCTCTCTCTCTCTCTCTCTCTCTTTATGTTTTACCATAAGCATTAATACGCATAATATTTGCGATGACGGCAATTAAAATTATCAGCGATCGATGATGAAATCGCTAATGATTATCTTCCTTCTCGTTCTTATTGCAAATATTATTATAGAAATCTCGATTAATTTTACAAAATTCACTTGCCCACAATTACATGTTGTTGGTAAGAAGAGTTCCAGTTTTTGGTAATCCTCTAACATGGAAGTTAATCATCGCTGTTGCTGCTAACGTTGTAAGGAAAGACTGTCAGTACGGTAGTATTCGATGATCTGATGTCAACCGCTGGTAATACGGACGGTCCACTTGTTTCTACTGCTTGCTAAAGTCTCCACAAGCTGGATCTTCGTGCCCCTGATCCTGATCCTGTCGTGCATATTCACAATGATTTCATTAGATCCAATCGAACAACTCGAATTTCCTACTTCTATTTGTAAAGAAACTATTGAACGTACGACTCCAGAAAGCTGATATCTAGATCTTTAAGTGTTATTCTACGATCAATGCTGGACTTTCTACTAAAAATGCTACTAACGAAATTGAACATGTTTAATGAGTGAAAACTAACGAAATTTTCAATCTCTCGTATAATTATTAGTGGAGAACGCAATGGTACCGGCTTTGTGTTTAACGACATCCTCCTTTATCTATGATTGTACCGACCAGCATGAGAAATGGCCACCATCTCTATGGGCAGGGAACCTCTT